CTCTTAAGGAGGCTCTATATACACACAAATACAGGACCTGATAGTTTTTTTGCACTGAGCTGGGGAGGGACGGCATCTTGTGTAGACCTGTGTAGTAACTGTGCTCATCATGTGTAAAACAACAGATCTGGAACTTGACCTAAAGGTGAATCTTTACTTTCACAGAGGCCACCTGCATCACTGAGATGTCTGTTCTGATGGCTTGTTGGAAACAGAACAACTTTGTGGACTGTCTGTGTTCTACTGAGATTGACTCTTTCTACTCTTGTGTTCATAAAGCTCAGGTACGTATGCATGTTTCACCCTCGAACCATGTCTGTAACCGTATTGTTGCCTTGGTTACATAATGCAGACCCCCCCCCCCCCCCCCCCCCCCCCCCCCCCAGAACACTTAAGCCTGATTTATAACACGGATAAATTTGCCCTTTGTTCAATCTGTTCTGGGTCTGCCGCTAAATGTCTTTTTTCTTTTAACGGGGCGGCCGCGGTGCTGGTGACAATTTTACAGGATGCAGCGTTCTGACCAATCACAAACTTGGGGTCTCCGCTCGTTTCGACAAATGTTTAAAATTTGGCGCTTGCCTCTGTCATCCTCTGTGAGCCCACCGGAGAGCCCTTGCATCGACGCATAACGGCGTTGGATGTTTCCGCACTAGGGCTGCATGATATTAGGAAAACCTGCGATATTCGATAACCGTAATTAATATTGCAATGACTATATAACTTGCGATAAATAAAAACTTAACTCAGGAACAAAAATGATCAAAAACAAAGAAATTAAAAAATGACAAAAAAATCATAAAAATGATAAAAGCAAAAGATGTGAGGAAAGGGCAAAAGAAATTGAACAAGAAAAGGCAATCAGTGGATCCCTGGAAAAGCAGAACAAAGCTAGCTCAGGTGTTTGCTAACCATCAAAATTAATTGCGTCCACCTCGGGGGCGGGCATCTAACCTATGAGAACCCATCCAACCATCACTATGTTTGTAAGCCATTTGTGTCAAGTTGTGTGTGTGTTTCAGTCCAAAAACACTAAACTTTTCAAGTCATTTTGGTGTTTTATTTTGTTCTGGTTTGAACTGAGTTCAAACATTTTATTTCAAATAGCCACAACAAATGGCTTCACGTCACTGACCAGGAGTGAAAAAAGCTTTTTGCTTTCATTCACATTCTTTGAGAAATGGTAAAAACACACACACGCGCATGCACACACACCAGGAAGTGTTAAATTGTTGGCACAACTGCATCTACTTATCAACTTCCTACATGTGACTCATCTCCGCTCCTCATCTGGAATCTTCTGGCGCTGAGCCATAGCTGGCAACATCCATGAAACGGAGCAGTCACTCAGAGAGCTCTTGATTTTTTGGTACATGAACTGCAGAAACCAAATCTGACCACAGGATTTCATTCTTACTTACAGCCGCTCATTAAGCTGATTTTTCCTCAGTCAGTGATCATTATTTCTGTTTGTTTCCAGGCGGCGATGAAGAGTAAAGGTGAACTGAGCAGCGTGACGGGAGGCCGTCTGCCACCAAAACAAGCCACCACCCTGCTGAAGAGGTTTCCCAACCTGAGGACTGAGATTTAAAACTGTCGAGAATCGTTGTGGTACTTTCTGTATGTGTTGTTTAAATAAATGTATGTACATAATTATTGTGTAACCTCTGTCTCATGGTGACTCAGCATTATTAGCTGGTGTTTGTATTTTGTGATGTTGACCCTTCAGGTAAACCCGGCCCTACACAGCCAGTATGGGACTGGAATTTGGTTTCACACATGGGTCAGAAATGCGTTTTCCCAACTTCCGGCTAATGGCGGCGAGGAGTTAGTAGCGTTTGGCGAGCTCCTGCAGAGCTAACTTTTTTCAGTATTTATGATTGGGCATTTCTTTCTTTTTTTTGGCTCCATGCGATAGTTAAATCATTTTGCAATAAAATACTGATGGTTCGCTCTCCGAAATGCCACCAAAGTTGACTAAACAAAGCAGTACGATCCAGCCTCACCTGCAGCCCGCTTCTCGCGGAGAGCCCTCGACCTGTGCAGAGTCATCTCCCGTATCGGAGACGTTCAAATCCAGTGATGTCAGCGTGCTCAAGTCCGAACTGCTTTCAGCCCTTCAGGAGGATTTTGCTGTCCTTAAAATGGGAGTTCAATTCAAGTTTATTTATATAGCGCCAAATCACGACAAGAGTCGTCTCAAGGCACTTCACATAATAAACATTCCAATTCACAGTTCATTAAGCCAATCAGAAATAATGTGTCCTATATAAGGAACCCAGCAAATTGCATCAAGTCACTGACTAGTGTCAGTGACTATACAGCAATCCTCATACTAAGCAAGCATGCAGCGACAGTGGAGAGGAAAACTCCCTTTTAACAGGAAGAAACCTCCAGAGAATCCTGGCTCAGTATAAGCAGCCATCCTCCATGACTCACTGGGGATCGAGAAGACAGAGCACACACACACACACACACACACACACACAATAAATAATGTGTCTGCAGTTCTATTGTGATGTCTTAGTAAATATTCTATTTGGTGAGATAAACTTTATTGTATTTATCCTAGTGGATCTCTAATTAAATGGGTAAACCAGCAGTAGCACGTCCAATGTCAAGGAAAGCAAAAAATTATTATCAGGAGAGGGAGAATGTTTAAGTAGTTAGCCGCAGTGTTAGACGATGGCCCCCTCCATGAGGCCACCACAGCTCAGCAGAACATCGTTGTAGCTTCTTCTGGGGGGAAAAACACTTAGAGAAAAAATAAAGTTAACAGCTGAAATTGCAGAAAGTAATACAGTTAAAGAGCAGATTGTAGAAGAAAGTAGTAGTGTGGAAAGTGGTCAGTATATCCTCCAGCAGTCTAAGCCTATAGCAGCATAACTACAGAGAAAACTTTGGATAATCTATCCTATTTAGATGGAGGCATGTTGGAGTCAGGGCAAGGGAGAGCCGTCTTTACCGACTGTACACTCCACCTCCCTCTACTCCCCCACTTGTCCTGATTTAGGCTAACATCAGATTTTAACCATAGGCCCTATCAAATAAAAATGTTTTAAGCCTAGTCTTAAATGTAGACAAAGTGTCTGCCTCCCATCCTAATTTTAGATATTCCGGGAACCACCAGTAGACCTGCAGTCTGAGAGCGAAGTGCTCGGTTAGGAACGTATGGAACAATCATATCACTGATGTATGATGGAGCTTGATTATTAAGAGCTTTGTATGTGAGAAGGAGGATCTTAAAATCTATTCTGAATTTAACAGGTAGCCAATGTAGGGAAGCCAAGACAGGAGAGATATGATCTCTTTTTAATTCTCATCAGAACTCTAGCTGCAGCATTTTGGACAAGCTGAAGACTTTTAACTACATTCTGTGGACTTCCTGAGAGTAATGAATTACAGTAATCCAGTCTTGATGTAATAAATGCATGAACTAATTTTTCAGCATCACTCCTGGAAAGGATGCTTCTAATCCTAGCAATATTCCAAAGGTGGAAAAAGGAAATCCTACAAACCTGTTTAACCTGGGATTTGAATGGCATGTCCTGGTCAAAGATAACACCAAGGTTCCTTACTTTGTTCTCAGAGATTAATGTAATGCCATTCAGGTCAGGCGATTGACTAAGCAATTTCCTTTTCTGGATTTCTGGTCCAAAGATGAGAACTTCCGTCTTGTCTTGATTTAAAAGCAAAAAGTTTAGAGTCATCCAATTTTTTATGTCCTCAAGACAAGCCTGTAATCTACCCAACCGATTAGGTTCATCAGGGTTAATGGATAAATATAGCTGAGTGTCGTCAGCATAACAGTGGAAGTTTATCCCATGCTGTCTAATGATTTTACCAATTGGGAGCATATATATAGTAAAAAGAATTGGTCCAAGCACTGAACCCTGTGGTACTCCGCAAGTAACCCTGGAGTATGAAGAAGATTTGTTATGTACATTTACCAAATGAAATCTGTCAGACAGGTAGGATTTAAACCAGCCTAACGCTGTTCCTTTGATCCCTACAACATGTTCAAGTCTTTCTAAAAGAACATTGTGATCAACTGTGTCAAAGGCAGCACTGAGATCTAACAAGACTAGAACAGACACAAGATTCTTATCTGAGGCCATGAGAATATCATTTGTAACTCTCACTAATGCAGTTTCAGTGCTGTGATACTCTCTAAAACCAGACTGAAATTCCTCAAACAGATCATTAGTGTTTAGATGCTCACATACTTGGATGGCCACTATTTTCTCCAGGACTTTGGATAAAAATGGAAGGTTAGATATTGGTCTATAATTCATTGGGTCATCTGGATCCAGAGAAGGCTTCTTAAGTGAAGGTTTGATTACAGCAACCTTAAAATCCTGTGGTACATATCCATTCACTAAGGATAGATTGATTATATCTAGAATGGGGGCAGTGACCAAAGGAAATGCTTCTTTGAATAATTTGGTTGGGATTGGATCCAAAATGCAAGTTGAAGGTTTAGATGAAGCTAATATTTTTGATAACTCTGAAAGCTCAACTGGATCAAAACGGTTCAAGCACAGATGAGGTTCTACAGTCACCTCTGATGCCTCACTTACTGAGGAAGAAGAAATCGCATTAGGGAGAATGTTAAAGATTTTGTTTCTAATAGAATTAATTTTACTTGTAAAAAAATCCCATGAAGTCATTGCTGCTGAGGGCTAAGGGAATAGATGGCTCAGAGCTGTGATTCTGTGTAAGTTTAGCAACTGTACTGAAAAGAAATTTAGGATAATTCTTATTCTCCTCAATTAATGCTGAGAAATAAGCAGTTCTAGTTTGTTGAAGCTTATTTTCATAAAGCACAAGACTATTTTTCCAGGATAGGTAGGCCTCCTCATGGTGCGTAGAGCGCCATGTTCTTTCCAATTTCCTAGAGTTTTGTTTTAAGGCTCGTAAATGAGAATTAAACCAGGAAGCCAACTTCCTGTCCCTAATTACCTTCTTTTTTAAAGGGGTAACATCATCTAATGCCACACGTAAAGAGGAATTTACATGATGAACTAAGGCATCAATTTGTGAGGGGTTAGAACAAGTGGTTCTTGGCGAAAGCCTTTCCTCCATCAAGTCAGAGCTTCTCTCCTTCAAAAAGGAATTATCCTCTGGCTTGTCAGCAATGCAGGAGAACTTCACTGGGCTAAAGGTAACGGTAGCTGAAATAGTGCAGTCCTTGTCCACCTTCACTGATGATGTCGTTGGCCTCCAGGGAAAAGTGGATCATCTAACCAAAGCTGTGGCGAGACGAGGATAAATGTGACGACTTGGAGTCTTGTTCTAGACGTCAAAATATCCGCAATGTTGGTGTCCCAGAGGTCGACCCTTTTTCGGCGTCCACGGCTGCTGTTTCGAGGTTATTAAACCAAGTGTCAGATTAACCAAGAAAATCAATTAGTAGAATTTATATGGGGCGCTTGCTTATTACAATTTAATTTAATGTGATGAAACTCGTGTGTGGAAGCAGAAGTACACAAGTGTGATGTCATGTATTTAGGTAATGCTGTAAGCGACTCCTTACTTCAGTGACAAACTAATCCAAAAAGGACGCATCGCTGGAAAAGCTTTAAGACATTTTTTACTTTAGGCTTCAAACATGCAACAGAAAATCTTTTAATGGAACATTTGGAGCTCCTCATGTTACCAATACATTAGGTGACAAAAGTCAAATGTTTTCTACTCTGCATTTTTATTACATTTGTTGTTAATAAAGCAGTGATTCATGTTACTTAGCAACAATCTTCAAGTACAAAACTGACGTAAATGGTTATCATTCATCTTCTACACAGTCTGAACAGTAACAGCAGCCTGACACTAGACCAGACCAAAGTCTAAACGCTCCAGTTAAGATTATTTACAGGTACTTTAAAATCGTTCAGCTAGTTCACATTAAAATGGACAAAAACCCACACACAAGTGGCCTCTGCCCAACAACATCTGTGTTGAATCAGATGTTATTCTTCAAACATAGGTGGTGGAGAGAGTTTCAGAAGTAAACTCTCTGTGTTCCCTGGTTGGGCAGCAAGTTGGAACCGTGACCTCTCACCACTTGGACAGGGGGACACTTCTGAGAGGATGGACAGCTGAAAGGTCGACAGAAACTGAATAAACAGCATTGTACACACATGTAAAATATAAACAACAGCTCCAGAAATCTTGTAAGAATATTACATGTACACAGAACCAAGTTAGCGTTAGTAAAGAAGTCAGATTAGTAACGCACGGTATAAAGTAGAGCATTCTTTATTCCATATACAAGCAATCAAAATGAGTTTTCTCGGCAGGGTGGCTGGGCTCTCCCTTAGAGATAGGGTGAGCAGCTCAGTCATCCGGGAGGGGCTCGGAGTAGACCCGCTGCTCCTCCACATTGAGAGGAGCCAGTTGAGGTGGTTCAGGAATCTGGTAGGGATGCTTCCCTGGTGAGGTTTTCCGGGCATGTCCAATCAGGAGGAGGCCTAAAGGAAAATCCAGAGAACGCCTTTGAATTCCCTTGGAGGTCCCAAGCGGCCGGTAAAAGGGAAGTCTGGGCCTCTCTGCTCAGGCTGCTGCCCCCGCGACCCTACTCTGGATAAACGGCTGAAAATGGATGGATGCTACTGATACTTTGACTAAGATGAGCGATTTTCATACAAACCTAAAATGTTGCTGAAATGTAGGTCGGAGTTGTTTCCATAAAATATTTATTAGCTATAAAAATCAGATAAGAAAGAGGGAACTATCCATCCATTTACAGCCAGTGTCCGGTCACGGGGGGGACGCCCAGACTTCCCTCTCCCCAGCTACTTGGGCCCAGCTCTTCCGATGGAATCCCAAGGTGTTCCCTGGCCAGCCAAGAGACATAGTCCCTCCAGCGTGTCCTGGGTCTCCTCCCAGTTGGACATGCCTGGAAAACCTCACCAGGGAGGCCTTCGGGAGGCATCCTGACCAGATGCCTGAGAGGGAACTAGACAATACCAACTGAATACATATTACTGAGACTTTCATAATAAGAGTCTGACATTTAGAGCCTCATAATTTAGTTGTTTATTTAATATCTTCACTTGAAGGGTTGTCAAATATAATATTCAATTAATCGACAGAGGATTCCGTAGAATAACTGAATGCTAATATAGCTGCAGCCCTAAATTGTTCTCATATGATTAAACATGGAAAAGGCTGTGGGAAGCAGGTGCAAGACTCGGGTGCAACCAGCGATTCTAACCCCCAGCCAATCAGTGAGTGATAGTTGCTGATCTTGCATTTTCGGCGCGGCTCGGGATGCTAGGAATCGCATCAAAGCCATCGTTAATGCCATCCAACAATACCAAATCCTTTTGATTCACCCTGAGTAGGTAATAATGGAATAGTGGCTTTATGTACCACAGAAATAAGTAACAATCACAGCAAATACATTTAGAAACAAATAACTATTAGGTTGGTCACACATGCAGGCTCATACCCCGGATGGTCCTCGGTATAGACTGCGTAACTGATCCCAGGAGAGTTCCTGCTGTATATCCAGCGTTGCAGCAGAAAAGAGCTGAACCACAACAAACAAACACATTTATATAGAAAATAAAACCAATGGGTTTTTCTCTTCTTTTATTGTGTATTACTTTCTTACTTTTTTCCTGTGTGGCTCTGCTCCTTTGTCATGATGTCCAGAAGAAACAAGACCCTGAGGTACAGAGAATAGTTTAGGTCAGGGGTCCTCAAGTAATGGTCCGAGGGCCACACACAAAAAGACCCAGAAGCAAGAAGGCCGGGGGGTGGGGGGGTGGGTTGCTGCTGCTGCTGTTTGTAATGCACATAACACACAAGCTTGCAATATAGAGAAGGACAACACCTGTCCCCCTCCAGCTCGGCTGTGTGACTGCACTAACAAGATCTCCTGTAACCTAAAATGAACCAAAGCTTCCTCCCAGTTTCTCTTTAAGCTGAATTTAACATCAGTTTATCATCGTGGAACAAGAACTTCTATCTTCTATTTCTCTCTCCTTTTAACTTCTCCGTTTCCCTAAATAAAAGAGACAGACGATCACGCTGCATCCGCCGTCACTCACCCCGCTCCCTCCTCTAGACCGGACCTCCCGACATCACAGCACTCGGTGGTCTGACTGAGCGTTTCCAGGAGAAACAATAATGAAATTATGAAAAGAATAATGCGCGTTTGGAGGAGCGTCCTCCGATCCTCTCTCTTGTGTGAGCAGACAATCTCCCGCTCTCTCACCCCCAAATTCCACTACCTCCACTCCACTCCGGCACGAACTCCGCAGCAAAATTGGTCTCGTTGTAGTCAATCAGAGCCATTCCACTACTGCGGCCGTGCTGCGGCAGTGCGGCGCAGTGCGCCGCCCTCTGTTCCGGCGTCTGGCAAAAACAGAATCAATCCTATTTTTGCCAGACGCCGGAGCAAGTGTTTAGTAAGTCATTAATAAATCATTAGGTAATATAGATATTATTCATTTTTAGAAGCTGTGGTGACATTTACAAATACTGCAACAATAATTAAACATTTGCAAACACTCTTCAACAGTTGATAATTGTTTATAGATTATGCTAAACTTTCTAAAGTCACAATTGTCATTGATTATATGTAAGATTATGATGCACCAGTGATTTATAAAGAATTAAACAAATGATCATGAATACATTTGTCAATAGATTTTGAACATGAACTAATTAAAATATTGATAAAATCTACAACAACAAAAATATAATCCACTAAATTATAAACCCTTTTCAGGTTATTTATTTTCTTTAAGTATTGTTTGGAATAAAAGGTGGTAGAGCTGAAACTGAAACAATTAAATAAAAATGTACAACGTTTTGTTTCATGTATCACTTCCGGGTAATACAGTCTCCTCCTGGGCCGTTTCTCAATTCTTATCCAAACTTCATTAACGATGGCCCAATGACTGATCCAATCCTAAGTGCATAACGGCAAGTTCGCTCAAAGTTCCCGGATGTGCTCTTGCTCCGCCCACTGTATTGAGGATGCATCAGTGCATTGTTCTGTGGACTTGGGACAGCAAAGTTTCCCATAATGCATTGCGTAGCAAACCGTTAAACACCGAACATCAGAAGATAAAGCTAATAACAGTAATGTTTTATATTAGAAATATAAGTAAAATAATATAAAGTTGTCTGTTATTGTAAATAATCATGTGTAAACTGTAAATTTTGCTGTGTGTGTTTGGGTTTTACGCTTCACGATCCTTCAAAATGCTAATTAGCTTACCCATTATCAAAATAAAAGCACCGTAGCTCTGTTCTGATGAAAAATAAACTTTTCTATTTATTAAAGCATGGGAAATGCTAGCATTTTAATAATTTTGCACAAAAGTGGGCCAAATATATTACAAATGATACATTTTCTTTGTTATTTTGTTAATTATGGCACAAACTAGACTAAGTTTTATGTCAGGTCGTGTTTTTGACTGTAGCAAGAAGCAGTGCTTGTCGCCAGGACACAACGGAGTACAGTTCTGTTATAAATGTCGTCCTCGTCCTCCGATTCTCGGTAGAACAGACTTTCTGTTGTCCTGGCCTAGAACATACTTGTCTAAGAACGTACTAGCATCCTTGAGAAATGGCACTGGCGTGACTTCCTGGTTCTGTGACGTAGACAGGAAGCACGCTCGTTCTGCCGCTCAAACATAGGCTGTGCTCGAGATGAGCCAGTTCTGCGCAGATTAGACCACTGGTGATCGGCGCGCGATGCGTGCCAGTTAGATTTGTGTCTGACTTAATGCCAACTTGCTCTGACGTCATGCCTATGCAGCCAACAATAACCCCATGAGATCAAGGTGGCCGCAGATTTTATCGGCCAGTGAACAGGATGAAACGATCCGTGCAACCACGCATTTAAATGTTGGCAGCCCTGGCTCATCTAGAACTAGACCATAGTCAGCGTGAGCAACAGAGGCTGTGACACTTTCTAAAGTGTTGGAATATTTCAAACTCAAGCTGACAGACAAGACCGCTAGCTTAGTGCTAAGTTAGCATCACACTAAGCTAGCATTGTGTTAAGCTAACACAACAGCAGAAAGAATCCAGGAGCTTCAGGTGTGAGCTTCAGATCCAAGACGAGGTGTGTTTGCAGGAGTGTAAATGAAGATAAACTTACTGTCAGCTATGAAACTGAGTCTGAGAATTTAGCCACTACCGCTAAAAGCAAACAACTTTTTTTATATGAGACTAAAATGTTTGCTTGTTAGTTTATTTAACAACCTCATACACCTTTTATTGTTCAGTTAGATTTGTTTGGAACGGTGCAGTTTTATCATGTACCAGAAACGAAAAACAAGTGATCAAATTAATTTGATGGATATTTATGACTTTGTTCATGTGTGATGAGCAGGTAAAAATTAAATATTTCTCTTTATTTTAGGAATCAGCTTCATTGGTCTGGGCCAATCCATCCTGCTCAGCTGAATCTGCACCAGAGTAAACAGGCAGCAGCTTAAACGAAGTTGAAATAAATGTTATAGAAACATGTTTTTTACTAATTTGTTTTTTTTTTTACCGCTAGTACTGCTCTTGTTACAATTTGACCAGGTTTTAAAAGGAAAGGAAAATAAAGGCTTATTCGATTAATCGATTTATGGCTGGATTACCGGGGCCCTAAAGTAAAACGTTACACCTAAATATCCTTTGTAATTCTGTTTGTGGAGCTACAAATGATTCTTAAACCATTTATAATGAGTTGTTCACACTTTACATTACGGGGAGCAAAAGTGTAATAGATTAAGTGCAGATGTACAAATGTCATTTATTAATGCTTTAAGGCTATAAATTATTTTTAAAACATTTATAAGTAATGAGGTGTTGCAGAAGGTTTAACAATGACATGTGACCTTTGACAGGTGAGAATCAGAAGGTTTACAGAGAAGGGCTTGCAGATGCTGACCAATTCCGGTGTCTGATCATCAGATAGAAATCTTACACATGATGGAACGGGCCTGTTCATCTGTCAGAGGTTTCCTGGTAGATCTTCTATGGCTGAAGGGATCAGACCAGGGATTTCCCACAAAGGTTCCAAAACTTCATACATTCACTTTCTTTGACAAACTGATGGTTTATAACTGAGTTGTAGAGTTCCTCTTGTATTCAAAAGTAAATAACCTGAAAAGATTTTATAAATGTCTGGATTTTTTTTTACATTTCACCAATATTTAAATTACATTTAAAAAATCAAATGTGTTCATAATCATTTAAAATATTTAGTTAATCTTTTATAAATGACTGGTGCGTCATAATCTCATATAACCATTGACAACTGTGACTTTAGAAAGTTAAATATGTTCTATAAACATTACCAAATATGTTAAAGTGTGTTTGTAAATGTTTAGTTAATCATTATTTAAGCATTTGTAAAAATCAGCTCAAGCTTTTACAATTAAATGATATATAATTACCTAATACTTTGTAAATGATCTGTTAATAACTTCACTTATAAATATTTAACAACAAAACACTATTATAAAGTGTTACAGTGAAAAGTCATAATATATCAGCAGAGCACGAGTATAACGTACCAAAGGCCAAGTATTTCATCAAACTGAACTGAAACTTTTTAATTTGCAGACACAAACATCCCATCTGTCTGGCCTCTAAACAAGAGGCTGAGCGGCTGAAAGCTCTGTCCCCCATGGTAGTGAGGCATGCAGAAGGGTCAACAAGGTGGAGAGGAGAAGAGGATCTGAGTGAGCGTGATGGGGTAGCAATATTAATGAGGTCTGTTAAGTAGGGAGGAGAAAGATTATGTATTGTTTTGATGGTGTGGAGGAGGATCTTGAAGGTGGACCTAAATTTAACTGGAAGCCAGTGGAGCTGCTGAAGAACAGGGGTGATGTGGAGAAAGGAGGGGGTTCCGGTGACGACACGGGCTGCTGAACTTTGGACCAGTTGCAGTATATGATGGAGTTTATTGGGGAAACCAAAAAAGAAGTGAACATCAGTAGTCAAGACGGGAAGTGACACGGCTGTGGATGAGAATGGCTGCAGCATGAGGGGTCAGGGAGGAGCAAAGACGATTTATGGATCAAAGATGGAAATAGACTGACCGAGTTATGTTGAACATGTGGGCATGGAAAGACAGTGAACTGTCGAGGGTGACACCCAGACTCTTAACCTGTGGAGAGGGGTAGACTGTGGCACTGTCAATGGTTGAGGAAAAGCTGTCAGATTTGGAGATGACGGATGTTGTACCAATAAGAAGAATCTCTGTTTTATTGCTGTTAAGTTTAAGAAAATTTGAGATGAACCAAGATTTGATGTCAGAGAGGCAGTGGGTAAGGGATGAGGGCGGGAGAATGGAATTAGGTTTGCTGGAAATATAGAGCTGGGTGTCATCTGCGAAACAATGGAACTGGATGCAAAATTTGCAGAGGATATTACAGAGAGGGAGAAGGTATATTATGAAGAGAAGGGGCCCCAGGACAGAGCCCTGGGGTACAGCTGAGGTGACTGGGGAAGGTTGTGAAGAAAAAGTCTTTAGCCCAGGCAAGACACTTCTGATGCTGTCTCTTGTTCAAGAGTGTTCAAGGAATGCGAGAGCTGCAACCATGTCTTGTATACATCTGTGCACAGTGGTTCTTGGAGCTCTGACTCCAGCTGCAGTCCACTCTTTGTAAATCTCCCCACATTTTTGAAAAACCTGCAGCTTTCCGATTACTGGA